CCCTCCAGATTCAGAGGTTTTCTGGAGTTGACACTGAGACCCACCACAGTAGCCCACGTTGCAATTTCTACAATTACCCATCAGCTAATTCCAAGTGACTGAAAAAAATTAATTGAAGGGAAGGAAGGAGAGGGAGAACGGACTGTCATCTGTGAAGGGACAATTCAAATAGGTCAAAATCAAATCTATTTAGCCAAATGTGGTATTGACGCCTAGAAAGACAGAGGGAAAAAAGCAAAGTATTAGATGTGAAGACAATAGGGGATATGGACTGTACAGCCGATTTCTGAGCAAGATATTCATGCTAAAAATACTACTACTGTTTGTAAAGGGCATGAGAAATCAGATTGTGTCTGTGTCCATGGGTGGGAGGAAGCAGAGGCTGTGCATACAAACCCCCAACATTAGAACAAGACCGAGAAAGGACCCTAATCCCAGAGGAGTAGGGATGAACATAAGAATAATTTGAAGTGAACCAGAAAATTAATTTCACCATCATCCTCTTACTTTTGTGGGTCCAATGATGCTGGTGGCCCCCAGTGGCTGGCCACACCTCTGGGTTCTCAAAAGGACCCCCAAGACCCCATCACCCGCTCAGCAAAATGCCACATGAGAAAGGAGGGCATGATCTGGTGTTGTACCTTCTAGTCTAAGTCACAAATAATCATGAGCATTCAAAAACATTCATTGCCCAAGTGGCTGCTGGGGAGGCCTGGCCTGACAGAAGGCGTTCATGAGAAAGACCCGGGGGGTTAGCTGATCACCAGCTTGATGTGAACCTACAGCGCAAGGAGGCTGTTGAGAACCCTAATGCAATCTGAGGCTCTATTAATAGCACAGCAGAGTGTGGAAGGAGGGAAGCAATACTCCCAGCGCGTGCTGGCAGGTCAGGCCACATGCAGTTTTATGCTCAGTCCTGCGGGCTGTATTTTAAGAGAGGCACTGGAAAATTCAAGTCTGCTCAGAAGAGCATGAAAGGATTGGACATTGGTATTTAGACAGCATCTCTATTAGCTTTACAGTCCTTTTGCAATTGGCAATACCAGAAAGATCATTACACGGAGTCTCCGTAGCCAGTTGCAGGAATCACGTTCCTAATATTTACTTAACCTCCTGAGTGTTGGGGTCCCCTCTCTGTATAATGGGGTCAGTAATTTCTGCCCAATCTACCACTTCCGAGCATAATTTGAGGATGGGTCAGTTGGGCTGGTGTGTATGGAGCATTCACTGAGTGCCCAGCTCCGTGCCAGGTACAAAAAGAAACACAGCGAGGGATCTGTTTTTGAGGAGCTTGAAGTCTAGCTGGACAGACGGGTCCATAAGCGGATACTTTGCTTATAATGTGACAGAGGATGATAAAAATACATGCATTGATTTGAAATGAGATACAATTAATTTCTCATAAAGAGTGACAAGACAGCAAAGCAGAGTCCCTGTGGAATATGGACTTTCAAGTGCAGAAACAGGAAAATAAGTCATTGGAGGTCAGGGTAGAGAGGCCATCAGGGAGAGAAGATTCGAATCAGAAAAGTTCAGAGTCAGAAGACAACTGAAGTGTCTCAGCAGTGTCAGGCGCCGTTATGACTTCAAGGAGGAGGAAGGCTAAAACATTTCTAAACCACTCACTGGATATGGAGATGAGGAGTTCATCCTTCATGGTCAAGAGAGATCTTTCAGGAAAATGATGAAGGAAGAGATAGACTTCACTTAGGAAGTGTGTGAATGATACCTTTATTGAGCACCTACTGCATACCTAGCCTGGTGCTACTCACTTCGGACCTTCAAAGAGCAAAAGATTTTGTTCCAGCCTACCACACTATTGGTTGGTGCGTTAGACTAACACCTGTATGTCCATTAAGGACTAGTGGAAGATCATTATATGAACTGTTCGACCGGGTGAGGCAGACAGCATCGTGGTTTAAATGACCGGTGGGCCTGACCCAGGACAGTGTTCCATATAGTCACATGCATACCAGAAGAAAAAAGAATTGGTGGTAGTGCCCTCCAAATATGACCTACCTTCGTCCCCTTTCCCTTGATTCTTGGAGTTTCAATTCCCAGAAGCATTCAGAAACACAAGTCTTGTCTTAACATCCCACATGTTTGGTCCCATTTTATTTGCCAGTGAAATTAATATTACTCTTTACCCTGCTCACATCTAGATCCAACATGCGTTTTTTTTCATCAGTGGGTTTGTGTTTGGTTGATTAGTTATTCATGTATAATGTAAGATGACAAGAGCTGTAATACAAAGAAGTGATTGTGGAGAATGCAGGCGTACAAGCTCTGGGGTTGGCTTTTTTTTTTGTAGGGGTGTGGATGGGTAGGCAGGTTAGGAGAAGCATGTGGATTACTTGCAGATGGTTGAACCTCTCCCCTTACCAAGCTGGTGACTCAAGCAAAATAGGGGGAATGAAAATGAATGGCATGTGCTTGCTCATCTCGTCTCCTCGACCTGCATCCTGGGCCCCTCATCAGCTTCTGGATCTGCCCCATGCAATCGCCTAACTCATTCAACATCTGGACTTGAGATCCCACCTTCCGGCTGCTTCCGGAAGTCTGGATCGCTTCCAATGTATCTTTTGTACGTTGTCTTCTTTCATAGGTTGAATTTGCACAAAGGTGATCCACTTTATAGATTAGCTCTTCCTCTACCTTGACTTCTAGAACCTCCACCAAAATGTCTGTTTACCTCACAGTAGCCAGAGAGGTCTTTATGGGGTGCAAGTCAGATCCCTCCAACGGCTTCCTACTACATTGAAGCCCCTTGCTGCCACCTGAAAGACTCGATGTTGTGTTCTAGGCCTGCTTTTCCAACCTCGTATTATATAATCAGCCTCTATCATTTCTTTCATTGATTTTTTTTTTTTTTTTTTTGAGACGGAGTCTCGCTCTGTTGCCCAAGCTGGAGTGCACTGGCACGATCTTGGCTCGCTGCAACCCCCGCCTCCTAGACTCTAGCAATTCTCCTGCCTCAGCGTCCCGAGTAGTTGGGACTACAGGCACACGCTGCCACACCCAGCTCATTTTTTGTATTTTAGGAGAGACGGGTTTCACCAGGTTGCCCAGGCTGGTCTTGAACTCCTGAGCTCAGGCAATCCACCCACCTCAGCCTCCCAAAGTGTTAGGATTACAGGCGTGAACCACAGTGCCCGGCCTCATTTATTTCTATTTATTTATTTATTTATTTAGAGACCGGTTCTTACTCTGTCATCCAGGCTGGAGTACAGTAGCATGATCACGGCTCACCACAGCCTTGACCTCCTGGGCTCAGGTGATCCTCCCACCTCAGCCTCCTGAGTAGCTGGGACTATAGGTGTATGCCACCAAGCCCAGCTAATTTTGTCAGGCTGGTCTCAAACTCCTAGGCTCAAGAAATCTTCCTGGCTCAACCTCCCAAAGTGCATAGGCATGAGTCACCACGCCCAGCCTCTATCAGTTTTTAAACCAAACAAGCCATTTCCTTCTTCAAGCCCTTTGCGTATGCCATTTGTTCCTTTTGACTGGGTTGTTCTTTCTCCACTCACTATGTTGGTATCTGCTTATCCTTCTTTTAAAAAAGTTGTTTGCTAACCCTTTTTATTTTTATTTTTATTGTTGAGACGGATGCTTGATCTGTCATCCAGGCTAGACTGCAGTGGCACTATCTCGGCTCACTGCAACCTCCACCTCCCTGGTTCAAGTGATTCTCTTGCCTCAGCCTCCTGAGTAGCTGGGATTACAGGGACCCACCACTGCACCCAGCTAATTTTTGTTATTTTTAGTAGAGACAGGGTTTCACCATCTTGGCCAGGCTGGTCTCAAACTCCTGACCTCGTGATCAACCGGCCTCAGCTTCCCAAAGTGCTGGGATTAGAGGTGTGAGCCACCACGCCCAGTGTTTGCTAACTTAAGAAAAAATTTTAGTTTATGTATGTAAATGTATGAGTTACATGTGTAATTTTGTTACATGCATAGATCTCATAGTGGTAAAGTCAGAGTTTTGAGGTTATTCATCACTCAAGTCCATTGTATCCATTAAGTAATTGCTCATCATGCACTTCCCCCATCCCCTCACCCTTTCCTTATTTTTTCCTCTCTCTCTTTTTTTCTGAGACTGAGTTTAGCTCTTGTCACCCAGGCTGGAGTGCAGTGGTGTTATCTCGGTTCACTGCAACCTCCGCCTCCCAGGTTCAAGCAATTCTCCTGCTTCAGCCTCCCGAGTAGCTGGGATTACAGGTGTGCACCACCACACCCGGCTAATTTTTGTATCTGTAGTAGAGATGGGGTTTCATCATATTGGCAGGCTGGTCTCGATCTCCTGACCTCAGGGGATCCACCACCTCGGCCTCCCAAAGTGCTGGGATTACAGGCGTGAGCCACCATGCCTGGCCCCTCACCCTTTCAAGCCTCCATTGTCTGTTACTCCACACCCTACATCCATATGTACACATAATTGAGCTCCCACTTGTAAGTGAAAATATGCAGTGTTTGTCTTTCTGTCTGTGGCTTGTTTCACCTAGGGTAATGTCTTAGAAGACATTTGGTTTTTTTAACTGAGTAGTGCTTTATCGTGTGTATGTACCACATTTTCTTTATCAAGTCCTCTGTTGATGGACACTTAAGTTGATTCCATATCTTTGCTATTGTGAATAGTGCTACAATAAACATATGAATGTGGGTATCTTTTTGATATACCGATTTCTTTTCCTTTGGGTATACACTGTTAACGGTTACCAGTAGCGTGTTTGCTGGACCAAATGGTAGTTCTAGTTTTAGTTCTTTGAGAAATCTCCATACTGTTTTCTATAAAGGCTGTGTTAATTTACATTCCCACCAATAATGTATGAGTTCCCCTTTCTCCGTATCTTTATCCTTCTTCAACTCTTAGTTCAAATACCACCTCCTCACCAAGGTCTTTTCTGATCAATCTCTCTAAAGCTGCCTCCCCACCCATTGCTTTATTTATTTCCTGCATATCACCAACGCCATGTGAAGTTATCCTGTTTCTTTCTTTCTAGAGAATTGTCTGGAAACTCCACTGGAACAAGACTTCATCTGTTTCACCTCCAGCACCTAGAACAATGCCAACCTGTGGTAGGAGATCACCAGGTATTCGTTGAATGAATAAACTTTAAATTTCTATAATTCTTTTCCAAAAACCGGCTCTATTTTTAGAAAGCTCAACATCCAAATATCAACTAAGAGACCTATTAAAGAGGCGATTATTTAAATTACAAGGTGGACGCATTGATGTACAAAAGTTTCCCTCTGTCTTCAACAACTGTCGTAAAGCCTGGGGAGAACAGAAGCTTAACACCAAAATCTAAAATATTTTCTGCCTATTCCCAAATCAGTTTCTATCACATTATTCGATTTTTCTTCTTTCTAGTGCTTCTCACTCTGAAATTATTGTGCTAATTTCTGTTTCCTTGCTAATTGCTGCTTCTCACCCCCACCCAAGAGAGGAGACCTTGCTTGTCTTATTTGCGGCACAAGCCTGGCACAAAGTAAGTGCCCAGAAGACATTTGTTGAATAAGTGAATTTTAAATGCTTAGAAATAAAGAGAAAGAAGCAATTAAATGAAATGCAATGAAACACACAAATATCCACATGTTCACAAAAAAATCAGGCCCCAGAGACTGTTTTAGCAAGAGAGCTGCAACCGGAGGGTGAAGAGCTGACCACACAGTGAGCCAGGCATGAATTAGATCCCATTTGTGACCCACTCCCCATCATCTGTCAGAACTCATCACAGAGTTGGACTGGGAAGTGGTGGCTCAGACACAGGGACCCGGGACACATAGGGGACCTTGCAGGTGGCCAGGATCAGAAGACAAAGCTGGACCTTCAGGGAAGCAGGCTGTGCCTGGATGTCTCAGGTCACCAACAGGATGATGTTGGTTACAATTCCCTGAGGTCTACCATGAGCTGCCAGAAGGGTGGGAGCAGCAGCAAGATTGTCCTGTGACTGGGAGGGCTTTGGTTGCTTTACCTGCTCCAGAGCCTGCAGCTGAAGATGATCTTGATTTAACCCAATTCAAACCAGCACCTGTTATATGGAAAACAGTGCACTAGGTGCAACAGGGGTGAAGGAAGAGGTGTGCCACCTGTGCCCATGCTGAGGACAGCCACAGACAGATCAGGCCAGAGCAAAGGTGTCTATCAAACAGGATGAGGGGTGAAGTGGCAGGGGAAAGGGTACCAGCAGCCTGGAGTGATGACAAGAGAGGCAGAAAGACTTCCCAGAGGGACCAGCGCTGGAGGCGGCTGGCAAGGAGGGCCTTCCAGGGGCAGGCGAGCTAGGGCATGTGTGGGGAGCCTGGAGAGACCTATTGGGCCGAAGGCAGGAAGATTCTGCAGGTAGGTGCAAGGTAGGTGCAATTTATTACCAAAAGTTCCAGTAAAGTCCCTCAGGGCCAATCCCTGAAGCCTGTGAGCAAAGGAAAGTGGTTTTCCAAGTAAATGCCTGGAGAGCAGCTGCAAGGCTTTGCCAGGAAGGGGAAGGCAGGCAGAACCACAGGCAGCGCTGCAGTGATGAACGATACATCAGAAAGGTATCTGGGGCATGTCGGGATTGAACGAGATAATGAATGATCATAGGGAGGCATGAGGGGAGACTGGGGAAGAGAGCGGGTAATTATAAAAGCAATGGAAGAATGTTTAGTTTGGTCCTGGACAAACTGACTCTGAAATTAATCTGGAGTACAGCAGTGTTCATAGCAGCATTACTCATAATAGCCAAACAGTGGAAACAATGCAAGACTCAAGTGTCCATCAACAGATGACCTGATAAACGAATATATATAGGTGGTGCATACATACAGTGTCATATTATTCAGCCATAAAAAGGAATAAACGAGTGATATATGCATGCCATAATGTAGATGAGCCTTGAAGACATTATGCTAAGTGAAAGAAGCCAGATATAAAAAGATAAGTATTATACGATTCCACTTACAGGATCTACCCAGAGTCTTCAAATTCCGGCAGACAGAATGGTGTCTGCCAGGGACTTGGGGAAGGGGACAATGGAGTTAGTGTTTAATGGGTGTAGGATTTCAGGTCGGAATGATTAAAAAAAAAAGTTTTGCACTAGATCATAGCCAAAAGACTGAGAAGTGATGATTTTTAAAAAGTTCTGAGAGGCCGGGTGCGGTGGCTCACGCCTGTAATCCCAGCACTTTGGGAGGCTGAGGCAGGTGGATCACGAGGTCAAGAGATCGAGACCATTCTGGTCAACATGGTCAAACCCCGTCTCTACTAAAAATACAAAAAATTAGCTGGGCACGGTGGCGCGTGCCTGTAATCCCAGCTACTCAGGAGGCTGAGGCAGGAGAATTGTCTGAACCCAGGAGGCGGAGGTTGCAGTGAGCCGAGATCGCGCCATTGCACTCCAGCCTAGGTGAAAAGAGCGAAACTCCGTCTCAAAAAAAAAAAAAAAAAAAAAAAAAGTTCTGAGAATACAGTTGTTTTTTTTGAGACGAAGTCTTGCTTTGTCACCCAGGCTGGAGTGTAATGGAGCGATCTCTGCTCATCGCAACGTCTGCCTCCCAAGTTCAAGTGATCCTTCTGCCTCCGCCTCCCAAATAGCTGGGATTACAGGCACCTACCACTATGCTTGGCTAATTTTTGTATTTTTAGTACAGACAGGGTTTCACCATGTTGGCCAGGCTGGTCTCGAACTCCTGACCTCAAGTGATCCACCCACCTCGGCCTTCCAAAGTGCTGGGATTACAGGCGTGAGCCACCGTACCCAGCCTGGAAATAGACTTAAATGTGGCGGAAATGCATAGCGGTGATGGTAGTGCAACAATGAGTGGAGCTAATGTCACGGAACTGACACTGCAACATGGTTAAAGTGGCAAATTGTATAGTGTGTATTCTGCCACCGTAAACAATAAAGTGAGTGTGGAAAAATAAACAAGCCAAGGATATCCAGGATATTTCTGGAAGGGGGAAGTAATGAACAGATAAAACTCTACCAGATATTAGCATGGATTATAAAACCTCAGGAATTAAGAGTATGGCACTGGCGCTTGATGACACAGACAGAACAAGGAAACTGAAAGGAAGTCCAGCAATAGGCCCAAATCAGCCGGCTGCGGTAGCTCATGCCTGTAATCCCAGCACTTTGGGAGGCTCAGGTGGGTGGATCACTTGAGGTTGGCAGTTCGAGACCAGCCTGACCAACGTGAAGAAACCCTGTCTCTACTGAAAAGATACAAAATTAGCTGGGTGTGGTAACACATGCCTGTATTCCCAGCTACTTGGGAGGCCGAGGCAGGAGAATTGCTTGAACCTGAGGGGTGGAGGTTGCAGTGAGCCGAGATTGTGCCATTGCACTCCAGCCTGGGCGACAAGAGCAAAACTCTGTCTCAAAAAAAAAAAAATAGGCCCAAATCCTTCAAGACTTTCATGTGTGGGAAAGGTGGCATCCAGAGACAGTGGGGAAATGGTTCTGGGAAGAACAGGAGCAGTCAAGGAAAAACAACATAGGATCCTTATCTCATAGTCACTGCAGGAAGAATTCCAAATGGAGAAAAGATTTAAATGTACAGCACAACCCATCCAAGTACTAGAAGGAACCAGCAGAGATTTCTTTCTTAATCTCAGAGGGTGAGCACATACCAGCTGTGACTGTGGGTCAGTATATTTATCTCTCTGTGCCTGTCTCACAGGGTGTTGTGAGCACTGGAGGAATTAATATCGTACATGCAAATGCTTAGAACAATGCCTGGAACACAAGTGACAATGGTCACTTACTAATCCTTTATGATGCCACACTAAGACTGTCGCTGCCATCATCATCATCATCATCATCATCAAAAAGAATGAGGACTTAAAAAAATATTTTTATGTTTTAAGGAGCAGGGAGTTTAATAGGCAAAAAAGAAAGGGGAAGAAAGAAAGAAGCAGCTTCCTGTTCAGAGACAAAGAGGGGTGGGCTCCAAAGCTGAGAGAGGGAATCCCCAAAATGAAGACATTTTATAAACTGGTGTCAAATGAGTATGAAATATATTACTAGGTGAAAAAACATTAGATGCAGAGCATGGTATATACTATGCTAATTTTGGTTGAGAAAAAGGGGGCGGTAGAAAAAATGCACATATATATCTCTACATATATTTATAAGTGTATAGACACACGCACACACACACACACACACCTTTGGTGAGACTGCTGCATTACACAACTCCAAAGGGCGCAATTCCATTGTATTCTATGTCAATGGCATCCCAGGAGCTCGATATAAACGATGTCCCTTGGAGTTGTGCAACACAGTGGCGGCCCTGCTAATGTGGCTGCAGGTGGGTAACATACCTCTGGAAGGATACAGAAGTGGAATAACATCGGTTGCCTGTAGGGAAGGGACAGAGGTGGCTTGGTACATAGGTGGGAAGGAGACTTTTCACAATTCAGACTTTGTGTTCTTTCAATTTGGAACTATGTGAATGTGTTATAGAAAATTCCTCCTCCCAGAAAATAAATCAAAGAAGTTGTAAAAATAAATACATATACCTAAGAGTAATATATACAAGTAACAGAACATGTAAGAAAATTTGGGAAATCCAGAAAAGTATAATGGAAAAAGAACTACGATTAAGCATGATTTTTTTCCTGGTCTCTGGTTGTGTCTGCATGTATGTGTGTGTTGAATGCTTTGAAAGGTAGCATCATGCTCATAGGGCAGGAGTGGGCAAACTATAGCCCCAAGCCAAATCTGGTCCATCACCTGTTTTTGTAAATAAAGTTTTATGTAACACAGCCCCACATATTCAGTTATGCATTATCTATGGTTGTTCTGCTACAATAGGATCATTAAGTAGTTGTAAAAGATACCTTATGATCCTCAAGCCAAAAATGTTTACTATCTGGCCCCTTACTGAGATGGCCTGCCAATTCCCAGTGTAGGGGACAAGCATGGGTTTTGAAATGGGCTGAATCTGGGTTCAAGCCTCAGCTCCATTGCTGACCAGCTGATGTGGTCAGGGGAAATTATTAACAATATATATTAAACATTGATCTGGTTTGGCTCTGTGTCCCTACCCAAACCTCATGTTGAATTGTAATCCCTGATGTTGGAGGAAGGACCTAGTGGGAGGTGATTGGATCATGGGGGCGGATTTCTTCCTTGCTGTTCTTGTTACAGTGAGTGAGTTCTCACAAAATCTGATTGTTTGAAAGTGTGTAGAATGTCCCCCTTTGGTCTCTCTTCCTTCTGCTCCGGCCATGTCAGATGTACCTCCTTCCTCTCCACCTTCCACCATGATTGTACATTTCCTGAGGCCTCCCCAGCCATGCTTCCCATACAGCCAGCCTGTGGAACCGTAAACCAATTAAACCTCTTGTCTTTATAAGCTACCCAGTGTCCGGTAGTTTTTTATAGCAGTGTGAGAACAGTCTAATACCAACATCATCCCCAGGCCCTGACCCTTGGGGAGTGTGTCATAACTTGTACCTATTGATTTTTAAAACAATGTTAAGGCCATATTGTATACTACTGCCAACTATATATAAAATTTTTATTCTTTTATTTAACATTATATCACAGTATTTTTCTATATCATTAAAATTATTTATAAACTTTTTTCTTTTTCTCTTTTTTTCTTTGTACTTTTTATTACGGAAATTTTTAAACATATAGAAGCAGGATAATGAACACCTCCATACCCATCTCGTACATAAGAACTGTTAACATTTGGTGTATTGACTTCATCTACTTTGTTGCTGAAGAATTTTTAAGTAAATTGTAGACATGATGACATTTTAGTTCTAAACACATCCATATACATCCCAAAAAGGAATATTTTCCTGTATAACTCATAACTTCAAAATTCACAATAATTTCTTCTCCTTCTTTTTTGAGACAGAGTCTCACTCCGTCACCCAGGCTGAAATGCAGTGGCATGACCTTAGCTCACTGCAACTTCTGTCTCCCAGGTTCAAGCGATTCTTGTGCCTCAGCCTCCCAAGTAGCTGGGATTACAGGTATGAGCCACCACGCATGGCTGATTTTTATATTTTTAGTAGAGATGGGGTTTTGCTATGTTGTCCAGGCTGGTCTTGAACTCCTGACCTCAAGTGATCTGCGCACCTCAGCTTCCCAAGGTGTTGGGATTACAGGAGTGAGCCACCATACTTAGCCCACAATAATTTCTTAATATCATCTAATACTTGCTCCATATACAAATTTCTACTTGTTTTCCAAAATTCCTTTTACAGGTGGTTTATTCAAACCAAGATCCAATCAAGAACCATGCATTGCAATGGACTGTGTCTCTGAAGTCCCTTTGAGGCTGTAACAGTATCTTGTTCCAGCCCCAGCCAACCTCTCTCACTCCTCAGTTTCTTTGTGTTTAACCTTGACGTGTTAATGAAATGAGGCTTAATGAATAGTATGCTAAGTAGCTGAATGTAGCATAACTGTGCACTCATTTTCTTATTTCTGGATATTTCTGTGGATTCTAATGCTTCCCTAGCATCAATGATGTGGCAAAGAACATCCTTAAGTCTTAGTTTGTCATAAAAGTACAAAATTATTTGCCATCTGGTGTGTTATTGTGCTAACCTGCCTGCTTCCTCATCCTCTCTTTGATGTATATCTGGTGACCTATGATATCAACTTGGATGCTTGTCTTACAGTCATTCTGTTCTCAGGAATTTGATTATGTCACAGTCTAAGCTGGGTGCTCCAGGCAAACTGGTCTATCTGCCTTTGCTTACACAAAATGAGTTATGCCCAATTTTCTCCTCCTCAGTCCATCTGCCCCTCCTCACCCTGTCCAATTTCCACCCATCCCAAAGCCTCCAGCCAATTTATTTCTTCCGTGCCTGCCTCCTTCCTAGGTCTCTTCAGCAGAAGTGGCCTCCTGCTTTTGTGCCACTCTGATGACAGTGATGCTGCTGGGTTGTACTTGGCCTCTGGGCTTCCAGCAAATCTTCTTTCCCCTCTAGTGAGTGGGGACTGTGATTTATGTATCTCTGCCTTCTCCACAGCACCCAGCACTATCCCCTGCTCGCAACTGCACCATGCATACTCACTGACAGAATAAATGGACATTTTGTGATACATCAGTGATGGGATGCAGGGTGGCAGCCACCTTGGAATCAAGCCTAATTAAAGATCTCAGTGACCTTGGACAAGTCACTTTGTAAGCCTAAGTCTCCTCCCCTATCAAAAAATAAATAAAAGTATCTACCTGATAGAGTTTTTAGAAGAATGAAAGGAAATATGAATGTCTGTGTTCTTAACCCTATTAGACCCTATCAGACCTAATTTTTTTTCTTTTGGAAATGGGATCTCACTCTGTTGCCCAGGCTCGATTGCAGTGGCACTATCTCAGCTCACTGCAACATCTGCCTCCCAAGTAGATGGGACTGCAGGTGCCCACCATAACACCTGGCTAATTTTTGTATTTTTATATATGTATTTATTTATTTTTATTTTTTGAGATGTAATCTCACTCTGTCACACAGGCTGGAGTGCAGTGGTGTGATCTCGGCTCACTGCGACCTCCGCCTCCTAGGTTCAGGTGATTCTTCTGCCTCAGCCTCCTGAGTAGCTGGGATTACACGTGCCCACCACAATGCCTGGCTAATTTTTGTACTTTTAGGAGAGACAAGGTTTCCCCATGTTGGCCAGGCTGGTCTTGAACTCCTGACCTCAAGTGATCTGCCAACCTCAGTCTCCCAAAGTGGTAGGATTAGAGGCATGAGCCATGGTGCTCCCCAAGCAGTAAGATTACAGGCAGGAGCCACGGCGCCTGGCCAGACCTAATTTCTAAACAAATATTCTGTAAAGGCCTCTTTCACTATTCTGAAATAAAATTCAGAGACAATATACCTACAAACATAGTTCCTCCAAAAATGATGTCCAAGGTATAGTATAAAGGGTAGATAGATACATACAAATTTGTGTTTCAACCTGGGACTGCCTTGGCATGACTCCATTAGAAGACACATTGAAGGAGTGAAATGACAGCAGCTAGTTATAATGAACATATGAGCTTGGATTTAGAACTTAAGGAAATCAAGGAGCAGAGGTACAGGTGTTCACCACAATGACCCTGTTAAGATAAATGAAAACAAACCAGGCTTGTTTGCATATGATAAGAAACAAGAGAGATATCATCTTAATTGAAGTAAGAATAACATGCCAAGACAAATTAAAATTTATCAAGGTGGAAAAATTGAGGAAGAAAAAGATCTCACAAATAAATTGGTCCTTATTAAGAAGAGAAGCATGGCCAGGCACGGTGCCTCACGCTTGTAATCCCAGCACTTTGGGGAACCGAGGTAGGAGAATTACTTGAGCCCAGGAGTTCAAGACCAGTCTGAGCAACATAGTGAGACCCCCATCTCTACAAAATATGTATATTTTAATTAGCTGATCATGGTAGCACTTGTCTATAATCCTAGCTACTTGGAGGCTGAGGTGGGAGGATTGCATGAGTCCAGGAGTTTGAGGCTGCAGTGAGCTTTGATCTCTCTGTCACCATACCACTGCACTCCAGCTTGGTGACAGAGAGAGACCCTGTCTCTAAAAAAACATAAAACAAAATAGGCCAGGTGCAGTGGCACAAGCCTGTAATCCCAGCACTTTGGGAGGCTAAAGCAGGCAGGTGGATCACCTGAGGTTGGGAGTTCAAGACCAGCCTGACCAACATGGAGAAATCCTGTCTTTACTAAAAATATAAAATATTAACTGGGCATGGTGATGCATGCCTATAATCCTAGCTACTCAGGAGGCTGAGGCAGGAGAATTGCTTGAATCCAGAAGGCAGAGGTTGTGGTGAGTTGAGATCACGCCATTGCACTCCAGCCTGAGCAATAAGAATGAAACTCCGTCTCAAAAAATATATATATTTAAAAAGAAGAGTTAAAATAAGCCCCTATGCTATGACACAGGACAGGGTATGATATTCAGTCCCTGAATGACCAGGGGCATACTGAAAAGTCATAGGAGACATAGAACAACTATTATTTGGGCAGGACTGACCTAGGCATTGTAGGAGTCTAGCATCCTTGGCTCCCCACTAAATGCTGATAATGGCTCCCATCCATAATGACAATCTCAACAACTCCTTCAAATTTTCAAAACTTCTGTGAAGGGCACTGCCACCCCCCTTGAGAACCACAGATACATGTGAAAGCAATTTGAAAAGTTAAAAGAATTTTTCAAATACTCAGTATGATTAATCCACTAAAATCGCAGTGGATTTTCAGTGGACACTGTATATTGGTTCTATTTAAATGACGACTGTTGAATTATAAAACATGAGTCTTTTTTTAAAATAAAACTGATTTCCATTTCTAGAAACATGGCAAGTGAATCCATATACTTATTGAAAATAACTAAAAATTCTGGATTAAAAACAATTTAAGAGCATCAGTGAATAAGCAGAAAAATGAGCAATTCTTAGTCCAGGGATTTAGTGGAATCGTTTTGAGATGTAGGTAGAGCACTGTGTCCCAAGAGCATTTGCTAAGCCTGCTGAATTTGAGCTTTGGTATTGGAGACCTCACATGACTGTGAAAAGGAGACAAAGCCCACCGTCTGACCAAGCTGAGGAATTTAATAAGTGGTCTTCCAGCATAAAGCTGGGATGCTTCCAAAAGCTATGCCCTGGGTGTAAAGGGGAATTTAGAAACATTTCCCACATTCAGACCGGGCGCAGTGGCTCATGCCTGTAATCCCAGCACTTTGGGAGGTCGAGGCAGGTGGATCATGAGGTCAGGAGTTTGAGATCAGCCTGACCAACATGGTGAAACCTCATCTCTATAAAAATACAAAAAAAATAGCTGGGTGTAGTGGCAGGTGCCTGTAATCCCAGCTACACAGGAGGCCGAGGCAAGAGAATCACTTAAACCTGGGAGACAGAGGTTGCCGTGAGCCTAGATAGCGCCATAGCACTCCAGCCTGGGCAATAAGAGGGAAACTCTGTCTCAAAAAAAAAAAGAGAGAAACATTTTCCACATTATTCTGAAGACTGCAGGGAAAAATCTGCCTCACACTTGCATGGAAGAGGGTAAGATGTATGTGTATGTGTCTTTGTGTGTGTTTTTGTTTGTATGTAGATACATATGCCAAAAATCATCACTAAACATTCAAAATACGAGCTGTCCATGACACGGTTTATAGCAAAAAATCCACACTCTGGGTGGTCTGGATAGGCCAAGTGGAGAATGTAACTGGAGTGATCCCAGAAATAGTAATGCCTCCAGAACCTGGCAGAAGCGAAAGTGAATCCTTCATAGAGGAAGCCAAATTTATCCCTGACTTCAAAGTGTTCCCACACATGTCAAGGAAAATGAACAGTTTAAAGTTAAATGACAGAGAGAGAAAGAGAGAGAGAAACTAACAACACAATAAAACAGGCCATTTAAGAACTAAGTACAAGAGGCAGCAGATAGCTGGAACAAAACTGAAAAACTTCTGATCCTGAAATAATAAGACAAAGACTTAAATAATCGTGTTTAATGTGTTTAATAAAAATAAAACTCATGCATGAAAATGTATACAAGAAAAAGAAACAGAAAACGATTAAGTGATTTTGAAAAAGAACCTAAAGAACTTCTAGAAAAAAAAGAACTCAGGGCACAGATTTACTAGAATAATAACACGAGAAGATATACAGATCTATCTAACTGTTTAGCAAGCTAGCATTTATCTCTATCATATGAAGTTGCAAAGCACCAAAGACAAAGAGAATATCTTAACAGTGAAAGAGAAAAGACAGATTATTTTTAAAAGAGTTTCAATTTACTACTCATTAGCGGCAACGAAATCAAAAGACAATGTATGATATCTTCAATGTGCTAACAGAAGATGATTGTTTTCAACTCTATATTCATAATTGAGGAAAAGTCATTTTGGACAAACAAAAACGAGACACACGAACAAACCTTCCGTTCTGGCAGAAGAAACATTAGTTCATATGGAAGGTGTAGGAAAGAAGAGGAAATAAAACATACAAAAGTGAAAAACAGTTGAAATGTTGACTATATAAAGCAATAATCATGGACTTGCGGGGCTTTGAAAGGAACGTTTATAGAATTAAATGCACAACAGCAGCAGCATATACATCAGGAAGGCATACGTGGAAGCTGTAAGTTTTCATATTTTTCAGAAAAAGAGGAGAATTGCTAAGTAACTTTGATTTTGCTAAGTTATTTGCTGCTATTTCTAGAGACTCCATTTACAGAATAGAAATAGTTCCCAAATCGGTAGAGGGAAAAAATGGAAATGGAAAAAACAACAAATCAATCTAAAAGAGGGCAACACAGCAGAGAAAGAGAATGGAACTTGTGGGAAAATAGCAGTGAAACAAGGTCTAATAGCTATAAATCCAGAAATACAAATAATTAGGACGAATGTAAACAAATTAGATGCTTCACCTAAAATACAAAGCTTGTCAGAATGAACTTTTTAAAAATCGAACTCTATGCTGTGTATAAGAAACATATCTCAAACAAGAGTATACAGGGAGTCTGAAAGGGAAAGGGTGAAAAAAAATGTGCTAAGAAAATGTGTACTGGGTTTAGCTGTGTTAGTCAGCAAAGTAGACTTAAAGCAAAAAGCACTGCTAGAGAAGATGTCACTTCAAGACATTAAACAATTCAGTTCAACGCAAAGACTATTTTACATTTACATACTCAGTAACTTTCGAAATATATTAAGCAAAACTTCTGCATAGGGGATGAGGTCTGAAATAATATAAAAAATACATTTATATTATAAAGCAAAAATCTGTCATTACCAAGAAAAATAAACAAATCAGGAACCATGGTGGGGCATTTAACACACCTCTTCTAGTAACTGGTTTAATAAACAGAACAAACAGGAAAAAAATAATCAGTATGGATACAGAAGATGTGAACAACACGTGTAATACACCTGACCAAAGGGACGTTGTATCAATCCAGGAAACAGATGCCAAGATGGGATTAGACATGCCAGAAGTGTCTTAGGGAAACCACCTGTGAGGGATAAAGGAGAGGAAGCAGTAGCAGGCGAGAGAGCCTTCTGCCCACAATACCAATCTGAAAGGAGCAGGAAAAGGAAGAACACTTGAGTAGGCAGAGTCTCAGACTACAGTG